TCACAAAAAATATAGTTTTTTGTAATGATAATAAGAATTACAAGAATATATGCTCTTCATACCTACAGTATAATATAGAGACAGTGACCTAAAATCTAATGGAACATGGAATAATAGTATTTCACCTGGCAATTAAATTCATTTGAGAAGAGACAAACATATTGTAAATGTAATTTGGGAAAAAAGTCTTGAAAACCTTTTGCCTATCATGAATTGTGCATATTCACAAGTATACATACACATGTGGTAAAGCATAATAAAACATGCTCACACTGGTTCCCTGTTGATGTGCTATATTAAATGCCTCATTTCCCTGTTACTGTGTTATACATCCTTTACAGCTGTTTTTTAATTTTTCAAAGCTAATCTTAGTGACCTCATGCTGAAGGACCACTGTAAGCAGAACTTTTATTTAGCTACCTTATATATCAACTACACTCCATTCTTTGTATTGAGGAAAAAAATGCACTTGACACAACTGATGACAGGGTGACTGTGGTAATGATGATTAACCCATTGGATCTAGCTGCCATGACCATCATGTTCAGAAAAAAATTGACGGAGGGCTGGGTGACAGGAATGTGACATAATAGAAATATTAGCTCAGGATCAGGGTGACAGAAATTTGCCATTATGAAAAATCAAGCTGAAGGCTGGAGTGATGAAAGTAAGTTGTAGATTACCTAGAGGTAATATGGAGTTTGTGCATGGAAAACCATCTATTACCATCTTGAAACAGCATATCAAATGTAAAATGAAAAAAAAAAATGCTTATACAAAAAAAGATAACATTGCAAAGGAGAGGCAAGCAGTCTTGATACTACACACAAGTGCCTGGATTTTGGTGTAAGTGTTGGTCATAAGGTACCCAAATCCAACAGGTTAAAAGATACATGACAAGTTACTGGTAATCAATAACAAATGTAACAGTATTATTCTGATATATTGCATTCAGCCTATAATCACCAATCTGCCAACTGCATCTTTGTATACCTTCTTAAAAAATTGTTTTCATTCATTTCTGAGAGCTATCCTCTAAGTCACTGATAAATTAATGTAACAGCATGCATTGTTATGAAATGTGACACGTAAAACCTAAACAGAAAGTCCTTTGTTTCTGAAACATTTGGTGAATTTCTATTAAATGCAGTCTGCTTCAATTAAAATAAACTTTACAGGTATGTTCTCACCCCCGTGTTACTGAGAATGAATACGAGTGAATGCAACTTTCACTCAACATTATTTTATATTTTGCCCTGGAATGTACAGATTTAACATACACACAGGCATATGGACCCATGTACATTCATACACATCTCAACACGCAGAAGGAACACTAAAAACTGATACATACCTATGAATAAAAGCAATGATCATGATGAGATCGATCATACAGACAAAAGCAGTAACTAGTTCATCATAATCATCACTACCATCATAACAGCAACAATAGTAGGAATAAAATGTAATTTAAGCATCAGAGTTCATCTCTTTGATAAGCACACAGATTGTACAAATCTAGCAATCTTTGCAACATTACACCAATTCCAAGATATGCAACTCTGCAATTCATTTAAGGAAACATCTAAAATTTGAGTTCTTTCAATACTTATAATTGAATGAAAATCTGAGCTACAATCTAGAGTTAAACCAGTGACTAAGTAGGTAGTGTTTTTCTTAATTGCTACAATTCTGAAATTCTCAACAGAAATATCATTTTAAAA